ATTGTGTCTGATCGGGGGGGTACAGGGAGGGATTTGAGTCTGATCGGGGGGTACAGGGAGGGATTTGTGTCTGATCGGGAGGGTACAGGGGGGGATTGTCCCATCGGTGGACCTCATACAGATTCCTCTCAGGACCCATCCATGGACGCAGCGAATGCCGTCACGTCTCACCTGTGTGAAGTATTAGAGAAGATCACGTGTGCGGGGACCAGGAAATTCACTCACTGGAACAGGAACTGCTCTGTTAGCCGGATATCCATGGGGGTCCCGGAGCTCCATGTCATCTGATACACACATAGACCCGCGCTCCCACTGAGAGGTGACAACGACTTTCTGGTCCTCGTGTGGTCTTTGGGTGGATGACACTTATGTACAGCACGTGAAGAGTTTAAATCCGGGAAGATGAATACCCTGGAAACAGGTTCCTCACACGGCTGGATAGAAACATACATGACCCCTACATGACATTGCTCCCCTTGGCTGTCCCCATCCTCTATGGGCAGGCCGGGGGGGGGTCACCACTGAGGCCCCATCGCAGCAACGACTCTGCCAATCACACAACTCCCCTCTACATGTATAGATTACCCATTCTACGGGACACAGCCATCATGAATGGACCACACGGCCACACCCCCTTATATATAAACAATGGACACACCCCGGCCACACCCCCTTATATATAAACAATGGACACCCCCGGCCACACCCCCTTATATATAAACAATGGACACCCCACCCCCAGTTATGAGGATCATCAATTATGCCAATAATGATTGGGTAAACCCAGAACTGTTTTATTTCACAATCAACTGAGGAGGAGAGACCACTGGGGAGGAGAGAGGAGCAATGGAGGAGGAGAGAGAGACAACTGAGGAGGAGAGAGGGAGAACAGAGGTGGGGGGAAGTGGGACAGAGCTATTGGGTTCCAGATGAGTGACAGTTGGGAGGTATCATACCTCTGGTGTTGCTTCCTCACCATAGCAACAAGCAACATTTGTACGCTTCCTGTGTACGTCACCCGGAAGAAGACGTCAGCAGTTCCTCTCGCTGGTAATTTCGAGTAGTGATAATACGGGCTGCGGTCCTCCTGAGCACCTTAGGACGTCACTGTTGGGAGACGCTCTATCCTGCCCTCTTCTGTACTCTGTGGTTTCGCTCGCTTCATGTAGGTGCAGCAAGATGGCGGAGGCGGAGTGAGTGCTAGCCTTCCTTATTTACTATTGATGAACCTGAGATGTATTACAGAGGGGAGACGGGGCGGGGGAGGAGCCTACCGTGTATTATGTCTCAGAGGGGCCCCCTTGGTGTCCTTTGCATTATGATCGGTAACGGGCTCCTGTGTGTTAGGGTTGCCACCTGTCCCGGATTCACCTGGACAGTCCGGGTATTCAGTCCTGTATGTGCTGTTTTCTGGCCAAATGAGACCCAGACACAGCACATACAGGATTTAAAACCCGGACTGTCCATGTGAATCCGGGACAGGTGGCAACCCTGCTGTGTGTCCATATTGTAATCATCACTGAGGGACCCTGATTGCTGTATTATCATCATTGAGGGGCTCAATCATTGCCAATGAGGGGCCCCTGTGCATCCCCTGTATTGTCACTGAGGGGCCCCAGTGTGTCCACCGTAGGGTTGCCACCTTTTCTTCATGCAAAACCCGAACACTCTAGCATCGAAAATATAGGAGAGAGAGGAGAGACAGCCAGGAGAGCGAGGAGAGAGATGAGCGAGGAGAGAGAGAGACAGTCAGGAGAGAGAGAGGAGAGACAGCCAGGTGAGAGAGAGGAGAGACAGGAGAGAGAGAGAGGAGAGACAGGAGAGAGAGAGAGGAGAGACAGTCAGGAGAGAGGAGAGACAGTCAGGAGAGAGAGAGGAGAGACAGGAGAGAGAGAGAGGAGAGACAGGAGAGAGAGAGAGGAGAGACAGTCAGGAGAGAGGAGAGACAGTCAGGAGAGAGAGAGTGAGGAGAGACGGCCAGGAGAGAGAGAGGAGAGACAGCCAGGTGAGAGAGAGCGAGGAGAGACGGCCAGGAGAGAGAGAGCGAGGAGAGAGAGAGGAGAGACAGTCAGGAGAGAGGGAGTGAGGAGAGACGGCCAGGAGAGAGAGAGGAGAGACAGCCAGGTGAGAGAGAGCGAGGAGAGAGAGAGAGCGAGGAGAGAGATGAGCGAGGAGAGACAGCCAGGAGAGAGAGAGGAGAGACAGCCAAGAGAGAGTGAGGAGAGACAGGAGAGAGAGAGTGAGGAGAGACGGCCAGGAGAGAGAGAGAGGAGAGACAGCCAGGTGAGAGAGAGCGAGGAGAGAGAGAGAGCGAGGAGAGAGATGAGCGAGGAGAGACAGCGAGGAGAGAGATGAGCGAGGAGAGACAGCCAGGAGAGAGAGAGAGAGAGGAGAGACACACAGGAGAGAGAGAGGAGAGAAAAAAAACAGGAGAGAGAGAGCGAGGAGAGACGGCCAGGAGAGAGAAAGGAGAGACAGCCAGGTGAGAGAGAGGAGAGACAGTCAGGAGGGAGAGAGAGAGGAGAGAGAGAGCGAGGAGAGAGATGAGCGAGGAGAGAGATGAGCGAGGAGAGAGATGAGCGAGGAGAGACAGCCAGGAGAGAGAGAGAGAGGAGAGACAGTCAGGAGAGAGAGAGAGGAGAGACAGTCAGGAGAGAGCGAGGAGAGACAGCCAGGAGAGAGAGAGCGAGGAGAGAGATGAGCGAGGAGAGACAGCCAGGAGAGAGAGAGGAGAGAGTCAGGAGAGAGAGAGAGGAGAGACAGTCAGGAGAGAGCGAGGAGAGACAGCCAGGAGAGAGAGAGCGAGGAGAGACGGCCAGGAGAGAGAGAGGAGAGACAGCCAGGAGGGAGAGAGGAGAGACAGTCAGGAGAGAGAGAGAGGAGAGACAGTCAGGAGAGAGAGAGGAGAGACAGCCAGGAGGGAGAGAGCTAGGAGAGAGAGAGGGGAGAGAGGGAGAGGAGAGAGAGAGAGAGAGGAGAGACAGTCAGGAGAGAGAGAGAGGAGACACAGTCAGGAGAGAGCGAGGAGAGACAGCCAGGAGGGAGAGAGCGAGGAGAGAGAGAGGGGAGAGAGGGAGAGGAGAGAGAGAGAGAGAGGAGAGACAGTCAGGAGAGAGAGAGGAGAGACAGTCGGGAGAGAGAGAGAGGAGACACAGTCAGGAGAGAGCGAGGAGAGACAGCCAGGAGAGAGAGAGGAGAGACAGTCGGGAGAGAGAGAGAGGAGACACAGTCAGGAGAGAGCGAGGAGAGACAGCCAGGAGAGAGAGAGGAGAGACAGTCGGGAGAGAGAGAGAGGAGACACAGTCAGGAGAGAGCGAGGAGAGACAGCCAGGAGAGAGAGAGGAGAGACAGTCGGGAGAGAGAGAGAGGAGACACAGTCAGGAGAGAGCGAGGAGAGACAGCCAGGAGAGAGAGAGGAGAGACAGTCGGGAGAGAGAGAGAGGAGACACAGTCAGGAGAGAGCGAGGAGAGACAGCCAGGAGAGAGAGAGGAGAGACAGTCGGGAGAGAGAGAGAGGAGAGACAGCCAGGAGGGAGAGAGAGGGGAGAGGAGAGAGAGAGGAGAGACAGTCAGGAGAGTGAGCCCTTCAAGACTTATCTGCACCCTGTTTCAGACACCTCCTTGCTCCCTGAGCTCCAGCGTCCTATACCTCCTCCATGCACACCAGGACCCTGTGGTTGCCTCTGTCCGTCTGGCCTGAAACCCGGACACAGCACATACAGGATTCCAAACTCGGGCTGCCCCGGGTTCAGCTAGAGGACTACAAATCCCAGAAATACATTATAAAGCAATGTAGAATAATATGAAGCTACACACTCTGTGCTGCTCCGGGGTGCCGGTCTGATGTCTCCAGATGAGAGTCTAAAGAGGTCTGTGCGGGGTCTTAGGGAGGGCTGTGCAGGGGGGTCAGGAGGGTTGTGCAGGGTGGGTCAGATGATTTAGGGGCCCCAGTGTGTCTCCTCTGTTATGATTTAGGGGCCCCAGTGTGTCTCCTCTGTTATGATATAGGGGCCCCAGTGTGTCTCCTCTGTTATGATTTAGGGGCCCCAGTGTGTCTCCTCTGTTATGATATAGGGGCCCCAGTGTGTCTCCTCTGTTATGATATAGGGGCCCCTATTCTCCGTATAATAATTCTTCTTCATTTTGTGGGCGGGGTGTTACTATGGACACAGAACATGCTGTGTGGTAACCCATAGAAACGTTTGGTGTCACATGAGTGAGGGGTGCTTTGTAATTGGTTGCTGTGTCTCCTGCACCCCCCACAATGGTCCTATCGGGGGGATGTGGGCGGGTCACATGATCTGATTGTTGGTTCTATTCCAGGATGCGAAATGACAGCCACGGAGACTTCAACCTCACGCTGCTCACCACGCCGGCCATGTCCACGCGGCTCGTCCTCCAGACCCCGGCCAAGCCCATCATCTCCGTCCAGACCGGAGTCCAGGCGCTACAGGAGGAGCAATCCAACGGCATGTCCATCTTCTTCAGCTTGCTGGTCCTAGGTGAGGAGAGGAGGGGCCACTGCAAGACCTCCCGGGGTCATCTACCATAGAGTGGGAGGACATGGGATGGGGGGGTGAGACATGTATAACGTATAGCAGAGGTCCCCAGCCAGGGGTATGGTAACGTATAGCAGAGGTCCCCAGCCAGAGGTATGGTAACGTATAGCGGAGGTCCCAGCCAGGGGTATGGTAACGTATAGCGGAGGTCCCACCCCGGGGTATGGTAACGTAAAGCCGAGGGCCCCAAAACGTATAGCGGAGGTCCCAGCCAGGGGTATGGTAACGTATAGCAGAGGTCCCCAGCCAGAGGTATGGTAACGTATAGCGGAGGTCCCAGCCAGGGGTATGGTAACGTATAGCGGAGGTCCCAGCCAGGGGTATGGTAACGTATAGCAGAGGTCCCCAGCCAGGGGTATGGTAACGTATAGCAGAGGTCCCCAGCCAGGGGTATGGTAACGTATAGCAGAGGTCCCCAGCCAGGGGTATGGTAACGTATAGCAGAGGTCCCCAGCCAGGGGTATGGTAACGTATAGCAGAGGTCCCCAGCCAGGGGTATGGTAACGTATAGCAGAGGTCCCCAGCCAGGGGTATGGTAACGTATAGCAGAGGTCCCCAGCCAGGGGTATGGTAACACAGTGTTTGTCATCCTCCGTCTTCTCTGCAGCTATTTGCATCGTGTTGGTCCATCTGCTCATCAAGTATCGTCTTCACTTCCTGCCGGAGAGCGTTGCTGTGGTTTCATTGGGTGAGTGATGTCACATGATTTGTTGGGGGGAGGGTTGTATGTTACTGCCTATTTACAGCCGGCTTTACATGTCAGTACAACGCGGGCAGTGTAAGCTCATGTGCATGTGTTGTGTGTCCTGGGGCAAGGTCATATGTGTTGTGTGTCCTGGGGTGGGGGTCATGCGTGTTGTGTGTCCTGGGGTGGGGGTCATGTGTGTTGTGTGTCCTGGGGTGAGGTCATGTGTGTTGTGTGTCCTGGGGTGGGGGTCATGCGTGTTGTGTGTCCTGGAGTCGGTGGTTACGGTTAAGTTTCTTTTGTTCCCTTATTGGCAGGAATTTTAATGGGCGCAGTGATCAGGATCATAGAGTCTCAGAAACTGGCCAACTGGAAGGTAAGAGTGTCCAACAGGATGCATGGAAGACCCCATTACTGCCCTCCCATCAGTCACACCACTGGGGGTCACAGCCATTGTACAGGACCCCATTACTGCCCTCCCATCAGTCACACCACTGGGGGTCACAGCCATTGTACAGGACCCCATTACTGCTCTCCCATCAGTCACACCACTGGGGGTCACAGCCATTGTACAGGACCCCATTACTGCTCTCCCATCAGTCACACCACTGGGGGTCACAGCCATTGTACAGGACCCCATTACTGCTCTCCCATCAGTCACACCACTGGGGGTCACAGCCATTGTACAGGACCCCATTACTGCTCTCCCATCAGTCACACCACTGGGGGTCACAGCCATTGTACAGGACCCCATTACTGCTCTCCCATCAGTCACACCACTGGGGGTCACAGCCATTGTACAGGACCCCATTACTGCTCTCCCATCAGTCACACCACTGGGGGTCACAGCCATTGTACAGGACCCCATTACTGCTCTCCCATCAGTCACACCACTGGGGGTCACAGCCATTGTACAGGACCCCATTACTGCTCTCCCATCAGTCACACCACTGGGGGTCACAGCCATTGTACAGGACCCCATTACTGCCCTCCCATCAGTCACACCACTGGGGGTCACAGCCATTGTACAGGACCCCATTACTGCCCTCCCATCAGTCACACCACTGGGGGTCACAGCCATTGTACAGGACCCCATTACTGCTCTCCCATCAGTCACACCACTGGGGGTCACAGCCATTGTACAGGACCCCATTACTGCTCTCCCATCAGTCACACCACTGGGGGTCACAGCCATTGTACAGGACCCCATTACTGCTCTCCCATCAGTCACACCACTGGGGGTCACAGCCATTGTACAGGACCCCATTACTGC